CTGAAAGCCTGATTTCAGGTGTTTGACCTGACCTTGACCTGACCTGTGACCTCAAAATTCAACTTTAAAGTACTCATCTGAACCGTCTCGTCGCGTTCTTTCGTCTGCCGCCTCGTGCGTTTCGCTGCGCCTATTGGTTCTCGAGTTATCGGCTGGGGGCGTTTAACGCCCCCCCCCCCCAGCAAACGGTGGGTGGCGAAATACCCCAGCAACTGCCGGGTTAAGGCCCTACATCGGTGGCTCTGGGGTCCCACTCCCCACACCGACGCCTCAATGGGCCACACACCTATGCATCTCAAGGCTCTATAGGTGCATCAGAAGGACCCACACCGACACCTCTGAGGGCCCCACACCAGTATCTCTGAGCTCTGAAGGCCCCACACCGGTGACTCTGAGGACTCACCGGCGCCTGAGAGCACCATGTTGATGTTTAACGGCTTCAAAGGCCACTGAAGGCACCACACAAGCTCTCACTGAGCTCTTATGTCCCATACCGGCGTCCCTTAGGGTCCACATCTGTCGGGCACCCATCGGCGACTCTGAAGGTCCCACACTGACACTGTCGACTCCGAGGGCCCCACCTGCGTCTGAGAGCATCGTGGTGTCTCTAAGAACCACACAGGGCTTCTGAAGGCGCCTGGCAAGTTCTAACGCTTTAGCTCTGATAAGTCTCATGCCGCCCTCTGCATATAACAGTCCAACGCCGGCGCTTAGGTGATAAGGGCTCCTACATGCGAAAGAGAGTTGATAATTGATATGAATTCATAGGAAAAGGGGCGCCCGCCTGTGTGCAAGAGAACGGCGCCTGCCAGGGTCGTCGCCATGGATTTTTGACTGGGGGGGGGACATATCGGCAGACTTAAAACCCAAAAGTAGGTATTGCCGCCGCACCCTTAGCCCAATACACTATCTGTGTTAAAGGTCATACAAGCCGGTTTTTTTACAGTACACATCTGAAGTCCGATTCAATTTGACACAATTAGGGACAAAGCCGCTGCTCTTCTTTTAGGGTGTACCAATTTAATGGTATACTTTTCAGAGTCTCAAGAGTAAATGTATTTTTTATTTAAATGATGGCAAATATTTCGACCCCCATTGAGGAGCCTTTTTCAATGCGAAATTACATGGAATAACCTGAGTAAAAGAAAAAATGATTTTAAAGTCCCATTTAGGTGTACCAAATGTTGACGCATGCCACCAATCTGAATCTGATACATAATGCATTCATATGCCCGTGTAGGAGGAGGGGAGATATTACAGCCACAATCTCTCTTTTTGACTGCTGTAGGAATCGGCGGCGCGAAGCGTCGCGAAAAATGGCAAGAAAATTTGTCAAAATACAGCCCTAAAACACAGCCTTTGCAAGCCTTGTAGCATGTAAGAGGTCAGAACACCTAAGGTCCGGTCACCGAGTCAAGCAGCCTCTAAGTTTTGTGGTCCTGCATCAACCGTGCAGCTTGTTTCCTTGAAGCTGGAAATTTAGTGTAAGTCTGCACAACTGCGGGGTTGAAGCCGGAGACGGTCGGAGTTTACTTTTCTGCAAATAGTCATTTTTAAGCATCCTCGGGTGTTTATTTTGGGGGATTTGCCCCTCGGATTCCTCAACCGGGGGGACGCGTCTCCCTGTCCCTCCGTTTTCGACGCCCATGGCGCCTGCGATGCCCAGTACGGCCGCCTGTGATGCTCATAGGGGTGTCTGATTGCGAAAGACGGTACATATGATGCCTACTAGGGTGTCGACATGCAATTGAGGGGCGACTGCCAATGCCATAGCGGCTCCTCCGTACGAAAGACGGGCGTCTGCACTGCATGCCAAAGAGGAGCGGCTCTGAGGCAGTAAGGGCACCTACATGCAATAAAGGGGCGCCTCCGAGGCCTACGTATATGGGCGTCCACATGCAATAGCTCTTATGAGGGGCACCTATCAATGCCATAGGGGTGCATTCATACGAAACAGGGGCGCCGGCATGGCAGAGAGGCGCCTCCAATGTCAATAAAAGAGTGGCGCCTAAGACAAGGGCACATTTTATGCAACAAGGGGCGCCTGTTGGTCATATAGGGATGTCTCTGATGATGAATATAGGGTGCTTATATGCCAAAGAGGGGCGCCTATGGAGCTAGGGGCGCCTGGGAAACGAGGAAGACATTTGTATAAGGGGTTTCAGGGGTCATGCGCCGTTTAAGACAAATAGATTCTAAGTAAAAAAAAAATCGGAGAGGGGAATAACTTTTAAAAATAGTGCGGACTTTCCGCGCTGTTCGCTTCAGCGGTTACGCCCCTAGCCCCTGGGTACATCTGCCCGATCTCAGAAGCTAGATTTGGAGGTCATACTTGAAAGCAGTACGATGAAAAAATTGGAGGCCTCTGAAAATAGGAGGCCCCCTGGAAAAGGAGGCCCCTCAACAGGGTGGCCCGCCCACTTTTCATGACGTTCCTACGCCCGTGGCACGTGGAACCCCAACTTGATATAAAAATCCACCCCTGATGGTTGATCATGACAATGCTGTTTAGTTAGCATATGGATGAAGTATTCCTAATCCTAATCCTAATCCATGGAATACCTAATCCATGGTTAGCATATCCAACAAAACTGGCATTTGTCACTTCATTTAGCTAAAATTTTTGGTGGAGATTTTTCCAAGTGAATCGCAGGCCACATGGGGTGACTTTGCCACCATGTTATCAATGCAAAAATGAAACACTTGTCCGATGCAATTAAAAAAAAAAAATAAGGTAGCATCATTTTGATCTCCAAATTGGTTTTTAGAAAGTTAAAGTCTACAACGATAGCCCGATAGCCCGTTCGATTCTCTACACGATGCTGTTTTCCCCGTACCGGTCGGGCCCACGGTTACCGAGATATTGCACCGGGACCGGACCCGTGTCGGGCAAATTTGGCTGTTTTCGCCCGTTTTTGCCAGCCGATTAATACATGTAAAGTCTATGACGCGAATTTGCACTTTTTGGGCACGCGCCACGCGCTCGCTATCGATCCGATCGAGCTGAGACCCATCAAAGGCACGTTGTCCATCCTTGTTCTATGAGTTGCGCAAACTTCAGCGCGGTGTATATATGTGTAGGCTATGTGTATATATTAAAAATTAGCACAGGAATGCACAGTGGTAGTATAGAAAAGCAAAAACTGCCAAAATAAAACAATGGATGAAGCTGGGCCAAATTTTTCAGCACATCCTTATTCCAAGATCATATACATTTGAGTTGGCCAGTATGACTGGCTGAAGAAATATGTACCATTTTATAGATCAAAACGCTGATAATAAGGGTGCCGGAAAGTTGCCACAAGAACGTCCTCTTTCTGTTCCTCTGAATGCCACTGGAAGAAAGCGGCAAGGTCATAGAGTACCGATACAATCATATTTCTCACTTATTTCTCTATTCTGAACCATTTTTCATTTTCTTTTTACTATAAAATGTCAATTATTTTCAACAAGTATAATGTATTATAAAAAGCAATGTATCTCTCCTTTTTGTACATCATTTAAGAGCGAACATCATCGAATGGCTTTATATTTTTCCCAAATTAAGCAATTAAGGATGGTTCCCCTTCCCCATACAACTGAAAAAAATGTTTGGGAAATATTTGTTAGCGTTAAAAAGCCATTGCTTGGCATAGTGGCACAGTGCTCCATTTTTCAGACTTTTTGGTGGCAAATCACACCTAATGGGGAAAATATTTTCATCCCTGAAATATGAATGACCGACATTACTTCATCTCTGAAAAAAAGTTTCATGTAGTCCCAACAGCCAGTTTACACGTCACTTGATAGTTGATGCACCCACATCCTTTTGTTTCACACCCTGTCAAGATCCTGACATGAAATCCTAGTTTATCAGTTGGAATAAAAATTGGCATTGTGCAAAATTGGCATTGGGCACCATTGTGCAAAAATACTTCAGTTATTTACTTCCTTTTTTCTCATCCTTGGATTTTTTTTCTTCATCGGCACACCCAACCAATATCCAATTTTAGAACACTGTAGTGGCAGTCACCCCTTTTTCGGTTTAACTTTGCCACAACTCATTTTCTTTAAAAAACTATATTTTCAGGCAAGATATAAATACAATAATAGCAAAACCAAAAGAGCTAATCTTCATCCATGTTTTGAACATAGAGTCATCCCAATATGTTAACAAGTTTTAATAATACAAGCATCTTAAGTTGAAAACATGGCAAAGTCAACCCTGTTTACGGTATACATTTCATGAATATTGTTGCTTTCATCAATTGCTGACAGTTTAAAAGCGATCATTCATTCGGAATAGCAATGGTGAGCATTTTAACTTTCTGAGGTTATGTCACTTACGATGACCTGGTGGACGACAGTGAAAACAGGGCGCCTGGGGCGATTTGATCAAGGTTCGTGAAATTCACACGCGACTTTTAGCATGTAGAAGGCCCACGGAGGGGGAAAAGTTCCAAATGTCACGTGACTAATATGCCCTCTGGCGCCCTGTTTTCACCAGCGTCCGACCTGGTGACCTGACGTTGCATGACCCGGGCCTCACATTTTTACAACATGTGCAGAAAAGATGCATGATAAGGTGTGTTAAAAACGGGGGCGCTGCGCACAGCTGTTTTCCAGATATTTGCATAAAACCTGAGGGGGGGCATGACAACATCCCCCAGCACAGCGCGGGTTTGACGACCCTCGATTTTGACGAGTTTGGCGCCCCTTCGTATGAAGCGCCCCCGGATTGCCATGTCACCCCTATTTTGACATGCCACCCCCCTCCCAAAAATTCCTGGATCCGCCCCTGCTACCCATGTGACCGTCATACCCCATGGAGTGGGGTAAGACAGGTTTTTGCAAGGTTTTGCAAAAATAGCTGCAGTCTATTTGTTGAATCAGCTCTAAGTCTCATCTTCTGGCAAATGGAAGTGAAATGTCTAAAAAAGGTTTTCACTCAGTTGCCCGTTTCTATGATATTGTTTCTTACAGGCCGAAAAATGGCTCCAAAGTTAAGGTGTCCGTCTTACCCCACATTCCCCTAACTGAGGAAGCGATATCAACAACTGCTTTTTCCTCTCCGATATGGCTTGCTGGTTCGTGAATAAGATACGAATCATGCAAAAATATGTGTTGATAACTCACTTGCTCTGAGAGCAGTCACCCAAAAATATTTATAAAAACGATACACCTCAACCCAAGGCCCTATATAGAAGGTATGCTCATTAGGCCGAAGCAGCGATTTCCGTGACGTCACTGGTACGAAGGGTCGGACGGCTGTAATGCAATCCTATGGAAAATGACCCAACTTTAGGGCTCTCCCACATAGCTGCCAACCTCGACACTAAGGTAAAAGTTATATCACATAAAAGCTCAAATCAAGACGAACAAGAAACCTATCTGACGTTTTTACGTAATACTAACGGCTTAAACTCTATTCAAGTATATTCAGAGCTCAGCATTACCTCACTTTTTCTGCCGTCAATGCCACTACAAATGTCTAGTCGGCGCACGTGCGCTTGTCGAGCGGGGACCACCAGTCGGGCGATTCAGAGCTGCCGCCCAATCAGAACGCCGCAATGCCGTGACGTCATTGGTCGCACACGACACGTTACGGAGATAGGGATGAGACAGCCCTGACCTCAACCAGCTCTTGAATTTGTCGGACGGTGGCCGGACTATCTATAAGAATCTTGGGCCGGACCAAGGCTATCCCCGCGTTCGATGTCTCTCGGACGGCGAAGATTCTACGCCGTCCGGCCAATCACGTTCCATAACCGCAGCCGAGCCCCCGCTAACCTTGAACGTGATTGGTCGGACGACGTAGAATCTTCGTCGTCCGAGAGCGTATTTACAAATTGCAACCGAGCTCCGCCGTAGGGTATTTTATTTCCGCCGTAGTGTATTTCACTTGGGGGATTTTCTACCATACATCTGCCTGAGCTTAGGGTAATGGGGATGTTCGGCTTATTTCCTCACCAGGTGGCAGCACTGCCTTCTTTGGACACAGAAACTGTGGCGGCGAATGCGCCACTGTGTTTTACACTGTGTGGAGTCGGTGCGGTGTCGGTCCTCCGAGGGACTGAATTTCGGTGAATTTGATAGCAATTGATTTGAATTTTGCTCAGATGGGTTGTGAATTTATATTCAGCAAGTGTCACAAACATGGAAAGGCAAGTTTACAAAGGACAGGAGATTTGGAAAGGCTTCAATTGACGTAGCCGAAGAGAGGCGAGAAGCCGAAGATAGACAGACTCCAAACGGTAATTCCATCGATGTAACACGTTTCCCGACATTTTTTTATGGCGAGCATAATTAAGAGTATAAAATAGTCTAACTTAACTCATAGCTGGATCTTGTATTGCCCATATGAGGTAATTCACCTGTGTAAGTTTATGGGCATATCAATATAGGAAGTTGACCTGCCCTTTGAGAAAGGCATTAAAAGATGATACATGCTGCTGAGAATGATTATATAAATTCAATGCATTTTTATAAGATTCATTGCAAGCATTTTAGCAGTGTTCTTTTGTCTGGTACCAAAGATATTGCATGCAGATAAAGGTTATGATGGAAAAAGACAAATACCTAGGATCTATTTTGACACCAGTAACCAGGAGGTACCTATATGTAATAGAACACTAAGCTACCTACTATTTATGAATTGTTACAAGTATTGATCATCCCACATGGTGTTCCAGGTGCCCAGTGCAATCATGCTTCTGGTGCGGAGTTGTCAGGATGGAGTCCGAGGAATCAAGGAAGGCAGAGGACCTGCGTATGAAGGAACCAGCCCTGTGGATGAAGATCTGAGGTGCATACAGAGGGATCCCACTGAAAGACCAGGTAGGAGTTGGTGAAAAGCTTGTGCACTGCAGTATATCATCCAGAAGTAACTGATAGCCTTTCTTGCAAAATGTTTTTTTTTTAACTCATCACCACCTAAAGCTACTCATTATTGATATAATATCTTAATTTCATCAGGTAAATAATTGTTTACTCTAAGTTTTGATTCACACTGAAGTGAACAATATTTTAGAATATTCACTCAGCTTTTTTAGCAACAAAATACGGGCAAGTTTTTTGTTGTTTTTAAAAATAAATTTTCACCTTCTAAAATATTTGTATATGTAACTGCAATAAAAGTGCATTTCAAAATTGCAAATACTTTTCATGGCTCTTGATGATGTCACTGTATCCAGTTCATCATATCAGATTTCAACTGTGTTTAAACTGCAATGTTTTGCTAATTGCTTCAGTATATAATGTCCTTTTATCCATGCATGTTAAACATATGTATCTCATTATGACTTGCCGAGATCTTTCCCTACTGTCTTATGCCATTTTTCATTTATCCACAGGTGCAATGCTGCATTGATAAGATCCAGATTCAAGAGCATGGATGCTACCAGATCCTGTGATTTGAAGTTACCTACCAGTGTCACTGCTGCTACAAATGACATCAGCAACACTTCCTTTGGTGAAAGTTTAGAGGAGCAAACAGTTGGTACTCTGTGTAGTCAAGCAGTGGAGTTTTGCCACAATCATGAAGTTGATTAAGGTGTCATTTTTTTTTTTGCTCTGGCTTCTGGGACACCTTGGATCTACATTGCAACCTATGCTAGTGTTCAACATTTCGTGTCGTAGTATCACTGATGCAAAGCGTGTTGCATCATACACAAATGAGAGCCAGCAAATTGGCAGATATTTTCTAGTGATAGAGAACTGCATGCCTTAAGCAATTGTTGAAGGTGATAAGTGGTGAATGGTAGGGCTCAGCCACTCAGCTGCTTCCTTCAAAAGCTATCAATCAGCTCTAGAAGAGCTGTCGTCATAGCAATGCTTCATATGTGAAGGATACTTGCCTGAACAGAACATTGTGGATTTGTTAATTAAGTACCTCTTTATTACAAGTTTGTGCCCATTACAAGCCAAGCTTAGTTTACTTAGTTCGTTGCAAGTTTTCCAGGCAGCCTTCACACTTGTGTCGCTGAATATTAAACTTTGACTGATAGACCGACGAGATATTGTCCCTTTCGCATCAGATTGTAATCAGTCAGTCGTGTTGGTAGAAGGTACAGTCTGCCTTAAAAGTACCGCGCAAAGTGACGGTGGATCCATCAAGCCTGACCGAGGAAGGGCCTGCTATAATTTGAAAGTCACCGAACCAATTGACCTGGGGAACGGACGAGGATGTCATATAGAGCCACGCAGAAATCGCCGGTGATTCGTTGCCCATCATTACAGAATGAACGCATGCCGGATGAAGGGTTAAGTCAATAATCTGTACAAACTAAAGGGATGTGATTGACTTATCTGACAGTGACGAGCGCTAGAGGTCAACTTAAGACCGTAGGTATGCGTTCTTGTCATGGAATGTGTGCTGTAAATCGATTGTTTCATGCGTGTGAATATATGTTGAATGTAATAAGGTTTTTAATTTCAACTGTGTAAGTTAAAATATGTGATAACATCGTATCTTTCGTACTCCGTAGCTTTTGGTGACCATTCGATCAGCTCCCTTTCCTTCCGCTCAATGACGATGTAGTAGTTTGCCTTTCACACGCGTCATTGTCTTCCTAATATCGAAATCAACTGTAGCTACTCATTTTAGCAAAATGATGAACCTGAAAAAGACATGAAACGCAGTTTCCGTTCGCGGCGCGTCGGCCGCCGTCGCCGCCCGCATGTTATCCCCGGCCCGGCCGGCGCCCGGCCGGCGCGTTGTGTCCAAAGCATACCGTGCTGCCACCTGGCGAGACTTTTCGGAACTCTTAGCGCGAACATCCCCATTACAATTTATCGGCGACGTTCGAAAATGATGCACCTTTTTTCGCAGTATAGGATATCGCATGTGCATATTTCTGCCTTTTTGGGTGCGCTTTATCGGTTTTTCGCGAGTAACTCGCGTAAAAACCGTCCGATCGCGACGAAACTTTCAATACCCCCGATTTTATCAATTTTACACCTACCCTGAAAATTTCATGACCCTGACCCAAATGACCTTTGACCTGTGACCTATTTCTCGAGACCATGTTTGGCCCGAATCGCGATTCGGCGTATGTCGGCTCGCATTAGCCGCGCGGTTGCAGTTTTCACGTGGTTTCAAGCGTTGAAACATGTGATATGATGCTGGTCCCATGCATTAGGGTAGGTGTCAAGGTCACCTGAAGGTCAGGTCAGCTCAATGACCTTTGATGACCTCGGTTCACTTTTTCGAGTATTACATGTTTCTAGGCTAGTTTTTGGAGCTGATTTCGAATTTAGCAACCATTTGAACATCACAGCGGGTGTAACGAAATTATCCAGACACCTTTCTTCCCGCTGTAAAAGCAAAACAATCTGGTACTTTTTCTTTTAACTGAGCTTGTAGCCACCTTTCATAAAAACACAGTTTACTCACCTCGTTGGTTTCTGCATATCTGAGTGGTTTCAAAGGACAGTCAGAGAGGAAATGAGGAACCCACACAGTGGCGAATGTTCTGGAGCATTTCAGCCAATGGATTCTCCAGCACACTGGCTTTGATGCGGACCAACGCCGTCTAAACCTGTGCCTGCGGTTGAGCAGTGCTTATGGCGGGTGGCTCTTCATACACCTCCTGCTGAACAAGAGCCCACAGGTTTTCGATTGAATTGGGATCGCGACTTTTTCCAAGTCATAAGCGTTAGCCCAGAATGATTGAAGGTTCTATCGGCATCACTTCCCGTTCTTTTAGGGACTTTTAAGTAGCGCGCCGCCACGCATGAAGACAGCGTGGCTTGAATCAGGCATCAGTGCGCGTTCAGAAACCGTGCCCTCCTATGCCGTCTGGTTGAGCGCCTCCAATCATGCTCCACCACCTTCCCTGGAAAAGCTCCACCCTTGCCTATGGGGCAAAATAAAAGGGACAAAAACACAAAACAAGACAGATAAAAACAAAGCAAAATTAACTCATTACATAATGAAATTCAGGCTGGAGCAAAAACATAGGTAATAGGTTATGTCAAATTAGAATGAAAGTTTAAAATCAACCTCACCAGGCCTTACGGTCCGACCGGGTTCTAACCACCTTACTTCGCCTAACTTGACCCAGTTCAACCTAGCCTACCACAACACCTGCAGAGTGCAGAGGTACATACCTTCCTGGAAAAATGACGCCCAGGGAGATGACTG